GCTGAGTAACGAAACATTTGCAAGAAAACAACCAAGCTCAGAGAACCCCAAGGACTCCACAGTGCACTTCTCAGCACAAATATTTTACCTATAAGTCCAAATTGTCTTTTGTTAACTTTGTGCTCATTTCAGGTGATCATGAATTCATTTGCAATATCTCTGGTACTATTACCTTCCAAGGGCTCCATAGAGATCACGAGATAGACCACTTTGATGAGGGGCTATGTGTACACATGGATCTGGGCTGAAAGGAATCTGAATGGTTACCTGGCCTATCTACCTGCTTCCATTCCCTGTGAGTTCATTCCTAATTAGCTCCCAGAATACCTGCATAGAATCTGCGCAAGTCAGTTTCGAGGCAATTCTCCAAGAAACGTCTCAGTGGGAGGACGTGTGCGTTTGGAGCAGTCCAGTCAGTCAGGAAGTCCTCCACAATGTGATGGATTGCATCTGGGCGGGGCAGGGGCCAGTCTGGTGGGCAAAGTCTCATCTCACGTTCTGTTGGGAGAAGTCAGAGAAATTTATCACTATGCCAGAGACAGAGAAAGAGAGAGAGAGACTGAAAGAGCAAAGTGAAAGAATGGGCAAAAAGCTAATGTGACAATGCTGGCTGGAGAGTCCTGGATTGCAGAAGCTTGCTTTACAACTTAGCATTCAACAACAAAAGGCCGATTAAACAAACTGTATTTTCCTAATGCAAGGCTGAGAACTTCCTTGCAAGGATGAACTGCACTTTAATTTTTTTTTGGTTTTCCAGGGACCACAAATTATGGCAGATCATGTCACCAGAAAGGACAAGAACAACATTTTGGTGCATTTTGTGGGAGTGCATTAAAATCCCTCCAAAAATGGGATAAAACAGCATCCACATATTATTTGGACTTATCTCAATCATACTTTCCGCCAAATTATGATTTGCATAATCAAACCAGATAAAACCTGCCATATTTATACAGTTGTCACAAGTGAGAAGTTACAAATGGAGCCTTTAACAATATCCTTCTTGCTAACAACACCATTCCTGGTCAAGGTACCCACCAAACCACTATTCTATTCCACAGAATACTGTGTACAGATGGTGGCTTAGAAAAATGTGTATAATTCTTTCCTGACAAAGTTGTGCTCAAATTTAGTGCTAGGAATGTAATCTCAGCAAATATTTGGCCTTTTAGTTTGATGTTTTTTGGCTTGGAGATTGTGAGGACATGGACAAGGTGTATACAGATGAGGGCTGCCCCTGGTTTATTTGACCCTTATTTCTCTTGACTGACTAAACTGTCCAGACCAATATTTAATATTTAAGGGATATGATCAATGCCTCATTGTGAGAGGGATGTGTTCCCCATGTCCAAAGAATGTTATAATAAGACTTTAACTGAAGAAACCCTCCCTTGATTCAGAATATCTGTAAAACAGGGCAGTCTCAAATATTCAATTCCTTGGAACTCCAAACATCTGCCTGATTTTCTAGACCCATTTCATTTGGGGTTTTGGCTGGGATATGTACTGAAACTACTTAATCATCTTGATAGTCACTTGACCTATGCCAAGAAATAAATGCACTAGTAAAGGTCCACTGATTTCCTTAGGATTTTTATTAAGTAATAATGTAATTTAGATTTTTAATGCTGGATTCTACTTTAAATTTTGGTAGCTATCTTGAGCACTTACTTGAGTAGAAAGGCAGAATAGAAATCAAAGAAATACAGAAATAAGTAGAAACTGCTCCTTTTGCCGGGGGGATAAATTATTGGTTTTTAAAGAGTAAAATGATTGCCTTTAGACTTGGAAGACCCTTGGAAGAGTCTGGGGAATAGGAAAAGAATAACTTGCAGGTCATGAATTGCCCTTCCTTATCCTGTCAATCAAACACTATAGGAAGCATAAACAGTGAAAGCATGACAGATTTCTTTCCTTAACAAACATTTTATTTATAGTGTGTCCTGCACTGGGGCCCAGTCCAACCACATTCAAAATCAACAAGTTAAAAACCTACAGCAGTTAAAACTAATATAAAAGCACATCCAAAGTGGCCAAAGGGGTCTCTGATCTGGTGTGGCCACTTTTGCTGTACCTATCACTGCCTAATGCCTCCTTAATGCTAGCTATCCTATCTTTATAAATCAGCCCCAGCACACTACCAAGCTATCCAAACCATACTAAAATATATCCAAATTTCTGACGTTTTTAACATTACATGAAACACTGTAATTAGCAGAGAAGGAACAAGAAATACATTGCTTACCAGTGGGAAGCTGCTTATAATAATAAATAACAGGATGCAGGAAGTTAGACTGCCAAGCATGCTGTGGCTCCCCTACTGCACGGTTATAGTAGAAGACATCCTTGTCAGGACCAGAGAAGTTCTTTCCATACTCCATCATAATGACAAAAAGCCCATTCTGCACCTTCCTCCCTGTGCGCCACTCCAGGTCTTGTAGGACTCCAGCTGGATACTCCTCCAGGTATTCAAATTTTGTAGCGTTCCTAGGACCAATCAAAACAAATACATTTCAAATATATCAAAGCAAGTTGGATATGCTAATAATGGGGTGTTCAGTGAACTGACTGCACTGCAAAGGAGAAACATTTCTTTTAAATGGGACTCCATTCTCTACCCCACCCAGTTCATCATTTGGAGGTGATTTTAAATTCTGCTTTATTCTATAATTGTCAAGCATCAGCTATGGCTGTATGCTTTTGGCTAAACTCTATACTCCAAAGAGATCTGACCACTGTCAATTGTACGTTCATGACTTATGGATTAGAGCATTGTAACATATACTACAAGCAGCTCCTCATAAAGTATAGGAACAACTTTGAGTATGTTCTTGCTTGAATCCTTTAGTTCATGCACTAAGTTCTGAATTTAGCAGAGCAAAAATGTGTCACCAGAACCAATGCCACTACCCTTCATAAATGAGCTCTTGCACTGATCACATACTTCTCAAAAGAACAGTTTTAGGGGAATCCTCTTTAGCATCAAGGACTGTAAAACATAAAAAGAATCAGTGTAACATGGTTAACATGTTGCACAAAAAACTGGAAAGACCAGGTTAAATACCAAATCTAGTTAATGACTGATGCCTTTGGACCAATCATTAACTCTCCACCCTATCTACCTTATAGGGTCATTAGGGGGAAACTGGGCAGAACCTATTATTGGATGAGTGGAAATCTACTTGTCTAACTGGATTTCCTTTTTCTTTTTTCTGCCCTGCAGCTCTTATGCCTCCCAAAATCTGCTTTCCAGTTTTTATAAACACTTTTAGAGCAGGCTTGGAGGGTATATAAAGTGCCATGAAAGTGGCAGAAAAGGGAAAGGAGGAAGAGGGAGAGAATTAGTTGGTTACACTTGACAAAAGTTCTGCTCACAGGAGTTAACTGATTCCATTCACTGATTCTAAAGGAAAAAAAATGGGTATCATTACTCACTCACTCTTTCAGCAGAATGATGTCTGCTAATACACTAAACATCTGATAGAGCCCAGATGCCTCATTCACCCGCCTGACAATAGCATTTGTTAGCTGCACAACAGGATAGCTGGAGGCTGGCCAGGGCACTTCGTGGTGACGGACTTCTAGTAAGCGATGAACTGCACGGGCTGCATTGGGGGGAAGAACAAAAGAGGCAGATATTATCATTTAATATTACATGCTAAGAGAACTACCCACATAATAAGACCACTGAAATGTGCAACAAGTGAATTTTGGGCCATAGTTAAACAGCTTACAACTATTTGGTATAGTTTCACGCTATAGCAGACTGAAGAAAAACATGGATAATGCTGTTACTACATATTCTTTGACGGTCCCACAGCCTCTTAAAACTACAGATTCAGCTTTCTGAACCTCTGTTGACCTTCATTTGATAGACTTAGTAATATCATAACCAGAGCTGGGGAGACCATGTCCCTCCAAACAGTGATGAGGGATGACAGAAGCTGTAGCTTAGAAATACCTGGAGAACCACAAATTCTGCCAGCTCAATACAGAAAATGCTTTTCTTTGTAGCAACAATGAGAAAGATCAGAGAAAATCTGATATAGTGGGTGGCTATTGTAGGTGTACCACCTGAATATATTTGTCCCTTCCTATCCCTTTTTCTTTTTGCATTTTATCATATTACAGTATATTGAAATGGTAATTTAAATCTTTTTACAGTGCTTAAAAACATTTGGCAGCATAATAATTCTTATGCACTGCATAATAACTAATTGGCTTTTCAAGTGGAATTTCAAGTTGTGTTCTTCACCTGCATTTGCTACTTTTCATTAGATCTTCTGCTTGCTTATAATGGAAAAGGTATTGCTGATAAAATGCAGTACAACAATGCTATTTCTGTTGATAATAAACTGTGAATAAAGAATGTAAAATGGAATAATTTGCTTAAAAGGGGAAAAAAAGGATGGGCTTCAAATATCTGAACAACTTCACTGCTGGGCTTGCTCACATTCACTTTCTACACCACCCGCTCCCCCATCTCCAAACTCACCTGTGTATCGGAACCCATGAATAAAACCTCCAGCAGATTTCCTAAAATCCACCGAGTGGCTTGCAGTTCCCAGAAGAAAGAGACCTCGAGTAGCTTTGGCTTCATAGCTGGGCTTGATCAAAGGATACTTCTTCTTACTGCCCTTACCTTGCATCAAGCCAACAGACCTGTGGGGGGAGGGGGGCAGAACAACTGAGAAACTCACCAAGTTGAGAATGGAATCTGGCTGGCTTCACAGATTGCAACAGAAGGGGCAGCACATCAGCTTTGATCTCAAGACCATCTATATGTGTCCTCCAGTTAAAAGGGCTCAGGAAATATCCCTTTTAGAACAACACTCTTCCTCAGCATAAGGCAACTGTCTAAATGTACGTTTAAGACAGAGAACGTCAACAGTGTCACTGTGGGTGTCCCTATGCCTGAACTGCAAGTTCTTCTTTATAGATTTTATTCATGCAACATGCAGGAAGTGCTTATGAAATAGGTCCTAAATCTCACTAGTATATTTGGGAATGGACCTAATTCTCTATTGCATACATGTGTATCAAAATCAAGTATGTCTGTATTTTTTTGAGTGCTGAATTCCTGAAAGAATCAAAATTATGTGATTTATCTTTGTAAGCAGTAAAGGGTCAGGGGCTCTGCTTTCAGCTTCTGATAAGTCCCCCAGACAGCTATAGTTTAACTCAGTGTGGTCCAAACTTGGCCACTTTAAGATGAGTGGACTTCAACTCCCAGAATTCCCCAGCCAGCA